CCCTCCAAAGGCAGACCTGTCCCTCCAAAGGTCGAGCTGTCCCTCCAAAGGCAGAAATGTCCCCTTGGGTGGCTCTGGGGACATTCCCACCTCCATGAGGGCTCCACATGGCCATGGCCACCACAGTTCCCTCAGGAACTGTCCCCTCCAAAGGCAGACCTGTCCCCTCCAAAGGCAGACCTGTCCCTCCAAAGGTCGAGCTGTCCCTCCAAAGGCAGAAATGTCCCCTTGGGTGGCTTTGGGGACATTCCCAGAGGGGACAGGTTCTCCAAAGGAGGAATTGACTCCTTGGGTGGCTTTGGGGACATTCCCAGAGGGGACAGGTTCTCCAAAGGAGGAATTGACTCCTTGGGTGGCTTTGGGGACATTCCCAGAGGGGACAGGTTCTCCAAAGGAGGAATTGACTCCTTGGGTGGCTTTGGGGACATTCCCAGAGGGGACAGGTTCTCCAAAGGAGGAATTGACTCCTTGGGTGGCTTTGGGGACATCCCCACCCCTGTCCCTCAGGAACTGTCCCCTTGGGTGGCTTTGGGGACATTCCCACCTCCATGAGGGCTCCACAAGGCCATGGCCACCACAGTTCCCTCAGGAACTGTCCCCTCCAAAGGCAGACCTGTCCCCTCCAAAGGCAGACCTGTCCCTCCAAAGGTCGAGCTGTCCCTCCAAAGGCAGAAATGTCCCCTTGGGTGGCTTTGGGGACATTCCCAGAGGGGACAGGTTCTCCAAAGGAGGAATTGACTCCTTGGGTGGCTTTGGGGACATTCCCAGAGGGGACAGGTTCTCCAAAGGAGGAATTGACTCCTTGGGTGGCTTTGGGGACATTCCCAGAGGGGACAGGTTCTCCAAAGGAGGAATTGACTCCTTGGGTGGCTTTGGGGACATTCCCAGAGGGGACAGGTTCTCCAAAGGAGGAATTGACTCCTTGGGTGGCTTTGGGGACATCCCCACCCCTGTCCCTCAGGAACTGTCCCCTTGGGTGGCTTTGGGGACATTCCCACCTCCATGAGGGCTCCACAAGGCCATGGCCACCACAGTTCCCTCAGGAATTGTCCCTCCAAAGGCAGAACTGTCCCCTCCAAAGGCAGACCTGTCCCTCCAAAGGTCGAGCTGTCCCTCCAAAGGCAGAAATGTCCCCTTGGGTGGCTCTGGGGACATTCCCACCTCCATGAGGGCTCCACATGGCCATGGCCACCACAGTTCCCTCAGGAACTGTCCCCTCCAAAGGCAGACCTGTCCCCTCCAAAGGCAGACCTGTCCCTCCAAAGGTCGAGCTGTCCCTCCAAAGGCAGAAATGTCCCCTTGGGTGGCTCTGGGGACATTCCCACCTCCATGAGGGCTCCACAAGGCCATGGCCACCACAGTTCCCTCAGGAACTGTCCCTCCAAAGACAGACCTGTCCCTCCAAAGGTCGAGCTGTCCCTCCAAAGGCAGAAATGTCCCCTTGGGTGGCTTTGGGGACATTCCCACCTCCATGAGGGCTCCACATGGCCATGGCCACCACAGTTCCCTCAGGAACTGTCCTTCCAAAGGCAGACCTGTCCCCTGGGGCGGCCCCGGCTCCGTGCCCCGCTCGGTGACGTCCCCGCCGGGGTTGTCCCCGCAGGCCGGGCAGTACGGCGTGGCGCAGACGCGGCGCCGCGCCATCGTGCTGGCGGCGGCGCCGGGCGAGAAGCTGCCCATGTTCCCCGAGCCCCTGCACGTGTTCGCCCCCCGCGCCTGCCAGCTCAGCGTCGTGGTGGACGACAAGAAGTTCGTCAGCAACATCACCCGGTGAGAGCCCGGAGCCGGCCGGGAATTCCGCTTCGGCAATTCCGAGTCGGGAATTACGTGTCGGGAATCCCGGTTCGGCAGTTCTGAGTTGGGAATTCTGTGCTGGGAATTCGGCACTTGGGGATTGGGCGTTGGGAATTCTGGTTTGGCAATTCCGAGTTGGGAATTTCATGTCGGGAATTCTGGTTTGGCAATTCGGCACTTGGGGTTTCCGGTTTGGGAATTCGGAGTTGGGAGTTCCAAGTTGGGAGCTCCAAGTTGGGAATTCCAAGTTGGGGGCTCTGAGTTGGGGGTTTCAAGTTGGGAGTTCCGAGTTGGGAATTCCGAGTTGGGAGCTCCGAGTTGGGAATTCCAAGTTGGGGTTCCGAGTTGGGAATTCCGAGTTGGGAGCTCCAAGTTGGGAGTTCCGAGTTGGGAATTCCGAGTTGTGCTGGGAACGGTGGGTTTGGGAGTGGTGGATGCTTGGAATGGTGATTTTGGGAATGGTGGATGCTTGGGAATGGTGATTTTGGGAACTGGTAGAGGTGTTGGGAACACGTGGAGGTGTTGGGAATGGTGGAGCCACTGGGAGCCTGGTGGGACCACCGGGATCCCTTGGGATTGTCCATTGTCCCATTGTCCCATTGACCACTGGGATCTGGTGGATCCCTTGGGAGCCGCTGAATCCACTGGGAGCCACCTCTCCCTACAACTCCCCTGAACACCAACCATCCCCTGATGGTGCCCAACATCCCCCATTGGTGCCCAACGTCTGCCATTGGTGCCCAACGCCCCCCATTGATGCCCAACGTCCGCCATTGATGCCCAACGCCCCCCATTGATGCCCAACGTCCGCCATTGATGCCCAACGCCCCCCATTGATGCCCAACGTCCGCCATTGATGCCCAACGCCCCCCATTGATGCCCAACGTCCGCCATTGATGCCCAACGCCCCCCATTGATGCCCAACGTCCGCCATTGATGCCCAACGCCCCCCATTGATGCCCAACGTCCGCCATTGATGCCCAACGCCCCCCATTGATGCCCAACGTCCGCCATTGATGCCCAACGCCCCCCATTGATGCCCAACGTCCGCCATTGATGCCCAACGCCCCCCATTGATGCCCAACGTCCGCCATTGATGCCCAACGCCCCCCATTGATGCCCAACGTCCGCCATTGATGCCCAACGCCCCCCATTGATGCCCAACGTCCGCCATTGATGCCCAACGCCCCCCATTGATGCCCAACGTCCGCCATTGATGCCCAACGCCCCCCATTGATGCCCAACGTCCGCCATTGATGCCCAACGCCCCCCATTGATGCCCAACGTCCGCCATTGATGCCCAACGCCCCCCATTGATGCCCAACGTCCGCCATTGATGCCCAACGCCCCCCATTGATGCCCAACGTCCGCCATTGATGCCCAACGCCCCCCATTGATGCCCAACGTCCGCCATTGATGCCCAACGCCCCCCATTGATGCCCAACGTCCGCCATTGATGCCCAACGCCCCCCATTGATGCCCAACGTCCGCCATTGATGCCCAACGCCCCCCATTGATGCCCAACGTCCGCCATTGATGCCCAACGCCCCCCATTGATGCCCAACGTCCGCCATTGATGCCCAACGCCCCCCATTGATGCCCAACGTCCGCCATTGATGCCCAACGCCCCCCATTGATGCCCAACGTCCGCCATTGATGCCCAACGCCCCCCATTGATGCCCAACGTCCGCCATTGATGCCCAACGCCCCCCATTGATGCCCAACGTCCGCCATTGATGCCCAACGCCCCCCATTGATGCCCAACGTCCGCCATTGATGCCCAACGCCCCCCATTGATGCCCAACGTCCGCCATTGATGCCCAACGCCCCCCATTGATGCCCAACGTCCGCCATTGATGCCCAACGCCCCCCATTGATGCCCAACGTCCGCCATTGATGCCCAACGCCCCCCATTGATGCCCAACGTCCGCCATTGATGCCCAACGCCCCCCATTGATGCCCAACGTCCGCCATTGATGCCCAACGCCCCCCATTGATGCCCAACGTCCGCCATTGATGCCCAACGCCCCCCATTGATGCCCAACGTCCGCCATTGATGCCCAACGCCCCCCATTGATGCCCAACGTTGCCCATTGATTCCCAACACCCCCCATTGATGCCCAACGCCCCCCACCGTCCCCCGCGGCGCCCCGCCGGGCCCGCGGTGACGCCGGGCCGGCCGCGGCAGGACATGAGCGCGCTGGTGGCGGCGCGGATGCGGCACATCCCGCTGGCGCCCGGCTCCGACTGGCGGGACCTGCCCAACATCGAGGTGCGGCTCTCGGACGGCACCACCACCCGCAAGCTGCGCTACACCCACCACGAGCGCAAGAACGGCCGCAGCAGCTCCGGCGCCCTGCGCGGCGTCTGCTCCTGCGCCGAAGGTGGGTGCTGGACCTCCGTAACCGCGTCGCCAGCTGGGCGGGCGTTGTCTTTTTGACGGAATTCCGGGGGTTTTTTTGTTGTTTTTTTTGGGGGTTTTTTTGGCGTTTCTCAGGGAAGCCGTGCGACCCGGCCGACCGGCAGTTCAACACGCTGATCCCGTGGTGCCTCCCGCACACCGGCAACCGGCACAACCACTGGGCCGGGCTCTACGGGCGCCTGGAGTGGGACGGCTTCTTCAGCACCACCGTCACCAACCCCGAGCCCATGGGCAAGCAGGTGGGGCAGGGAACCGCGGGCGCGGCCGGCGCGTGCGGCCGGTGGGGGTGGCCGGTGGTCATCGTTGGCCCAGCCCTTGGGTGGGGTTGGTGGGGATGAGCAATGGCCGCCATGTCCCAGTGGTTGGGTGTGGGGGTCTCTGGTGTCCACCATGTTGGGTGTGGGGGTCTCTGGTGTCCACCATGTTGGGTGTGGTGGTCTCTGGTGTCCACCATGTTGGGTGTGATGGTCTCCGGTGTCCACCATGTTGGGTGTGGGGGTCTCTGGTGTCCACCGTGTCCCAGTGGTTGGGTGTGGGGGTCTCTGGTGTCCACCATGTTGGGTGTGGGGGTCTCTGGTGTCCACCATGTTGGGTGTGATGGTCTCTGGTGTCCATCATATCCCAGTGGTTGGGTTTGATGGTCTCCAGTGGCCACCATGTTGGGTGTGATGGTCTCTGGTGTCCACCATGTCCCAATGGTTGGGTTTGATGGTCTCCAGTGGCCACCATGTTGGGTGTGGTGGTCTCTGGTGGTCCCCACGTTGCTGTGGGGGTCTCTGCTGTTGCTGTGGGGTCCCTG